ACGTACGACAAATGCGGAGCAGCAAGCGGATCTTCACAAGATGGAACACGCAACTTTCAAGAGCACCGCATCCTCGCCAACATGTCAGTGGCAAAACGCACCACCCCGGTATGAGCCACTGCTGTGCTCTGGAAACACGGAAGCCCCTGGTTTGGGATCGCCTGCCTTCAGAGCAGTTGTCGGGAGTCCCCTCTTCTTTGCACCCTGGCAGAGAGCGACGGCTCACCGGTGTGTTCTAGGCTTGAATCGGAATCATCAGCATCATCATCGCCATGAAGTTTGCAAGACTGTACTCTCCAAGATTAAAACAAACAACTGTCAAGATTACACCTGTTCTTGCGAGCATGAGCATGGTGGTAGTGGTGGTCGTAGCAGACGGTTCAACCGCACCAGCACGATCAGCACAAACGGCAGCTGCAGCAGCAGAACTAGCAGTAGTAGTAGCAGTCGTAGCAATCGTAGCAGCAATAGAAGCAGCAGTAGTAGAAGTAGCAGTAGTAGTCTAGAGCCCAGCCATTCCCACGAGTGAAAAACTCTAAATCCACCTAGATGCCCCGAACCCCTGGAAAAATCGCTCCAGGACCCCAACCTGAACCCACCTCCGCCCGAGACCCCGACCCTTGCCATCGACCTGGCAAGGCGGAATATACAGTGTTGTCCGCTGCAGGCTTTGGGGGGTATGCAAGTCGATACACTCTGGATCCTTTTCAGGGTCAAAAGTAGGGTTCCTCATTTTCTCAAGTTCCCATGTTGTCCCAAACCCGACAACGTAAAAAATTACGAGACCGCCCAGTGGTCTTGTGGTACCTTCTAGTGGTGCAGTGTTTGGTTTGGAAATATTGCTCGTAACGCAGGTATTCTCGTAGCATCTATCGGAGCTCGGGGTCTATATTCAGTCTCGGTCTCGACTTTTGACCGTTTAAATGCGAGACAAGAAGACGATTCCGTGCGCAGCATTCTTTGGTTCCGGTGACTCCAGACCCAAAAGGTCATGTGGCCTGGTATCCGAATGCCACACACCCTGAACCTGCAGGTACAGCGCTTCAGTTCGCACGCTTGCGGTTTGCATCGCGCTTGTTCGTGGGCGTCGGCATCAAGTGTCCCAAAGACAGTATGAAAAATAATACTGTCCGGAAAACATCTGGACTCAGGGAGGATGAGCGGGTGAGGAGTCATTTCCGACAAGGCGGGGGGGGGGGGGGGGGGGCGTGGCGTTCAGGGTCGTGGGGCTTCGATGAAGGATCTTGGCCTGAGGTTTCGGAAGCGGGGTACCCTGGGTCGACTGGATGTCGAGATGGCTTTGCTTGTGCAACTCCCCCGTCCTCTAGGAGGGGTGGGCTTCGGCTTGAGGGCTCAAGGTTTCAGTTTCAGGCACCTCTTCGCTGCGGCGCTCGCCACCAACACTGTCGCCGTTGCTGCCGACAGCACCAGCGGCACACCTGCGTTCGGGACGCCACATGTGGATCAGTTGGGATCGATGATAGAACAACTGCCTTCGTAAGGGCACTACTAAGGCTCTGAAGAGCCGCCCCCCGACTCCAAATTCTCTCCTTCAACCCTGATTAAGCACGTCTGATGCCACACACAACGTAGACACCCACAAACCGTGAACAAGGCCAGGAAAGAACAAGGATTCCTACTGCTCCTACGAAAGCTGGCAGTCTCATCAAACTGCACAAGACACTTCGAAACCTACTCGCTCTGGCTAGCATTGACGTACTCATTCATATTCTTACACATCCTTCGACTACGACTGCTCTGAAGCAGCGGTAAATCTTCTGGCTGGTATTGCCCACTCATGCTCTTGTATACGACTATTGCCACCACCACTACAACGACTACTGGAAGAGGAGGAAGGCTAATGCTCTTTAACGCATCCTGGTGCCGGCCTTGCACAGCAGCCTCGTGCCCACTCGCCCGCGGAGGCTGCGAAAGCGTTGGCCTGCTCCAGCTCGAGCTTTGGGGCTTCGGCGAAATTTGGGGGTTGAATAGGTTTTGGGCTTAAGCTTTGGGCCTGCTTATATGGATGGTAGGACATGACGATGGCCCGACAGGTCCTTCTGCTCCACGCAACTCCAAAGAGTGAGGCCAGAGCAAACTCCGCCGAACGGTAAAAACAGCACAATGTCGGGCTCCTTGATGTCTCCATGGAGAGCTGCTTGTCGAAAACACACATCTGCGTTTAGAAGGATCCAGAATCCGCACCGCTGCAGCGAGTGTGCCGAATAGCAGGATTGGCGTCGTGTGAACCAGCGCACCATCCGCGTTGCACCACACCGTCAGCAGAAGACTTCTCTTGGCGACATAGCAGCATAGCGGAAGACTGACGCTGCAATGCAGTATCAACAGGAACCAGAATGAGCGGACATGTTGCTCGGTCGTAGTTGTACAGTGGTACAAGAGTCTAGAGATACCCTGATACAAATACGTAAAACCGCAAACCAATCAAACCATGAAAGGCCTCGCAACCGGTGGTGCAGCAGGAGCTGCACCCAGCGCAAACGCCTTTTGTCTGAGATCTTTGAATAAGGCTATGGCTTCGGGTCGCATACTTGCTTGGCAGGTGGTGCGCTGTTGAAATACGCAGCCTTGGATGCATTCTCAAGGTATGTGGTAGGGTTTGCCAAAATATGGTTGGTACTCACCTCCACCCGACAAATCGAGACTCGTCCCAATGGTCCCTGTCTTTTCGCTGGGACACGGTGCATCTGCGGCACCTTCTTCACGACCTTCTTCAGGCTTTCCAGCAGTTCGGGGTAAGATGGGGGATGCGAAAGGGGCGGGAGTGGGTAGTTGCATTCATGCTAGAAGACGATACTACTACCAGCGATTCCGGTCATCCCAAACTGTGGTGGAGTTTCAGATGCACACCGCTGCGGCACAACGCGCGTAGGCATGACCATGTGATAGTACGTTTGGATCGTTTGGGACCCAACCTTGGCGAAGAGAGCCATGGCCACAAAATAGTGCTGCACAGAACAATGCAATGCGTAACAATGCGCAACAGTTGGGCAGTTGAAGTCTTCGGAAGCTTTCTACGCTCCGCAGTATGCCTGATTCGTGCAAACCTACTACAGGTGCAAATCTCTCAGAAGATGATCCGCAAGTTCGTTCGGCCCGGCGCCACATGAAGAGCTGCCTGCTGGAAACCCTGTCCAGTAGTGAGAATCTACAAGCTTAACGAGTGTAAACTTGACTCTATGGTTGGCTTCGTATGCACACAGGCCATCTCCATTCTCCAGCTCAACAGTGTGCCACATATGGGCATGATAAATTTTCAGTCTATTAATGCAAAGAGGGAGGGGGCGAGCGAGAGACAGAAACACAGCGCGAGCGAGCAAGCACCAAGACAGACAAGCAGAATGAGAACATGATAGCAGAGAGTGTGTGCGTGTGTGTCTGTAGGTGTCCGTCGTGGTTCCGATGTATTTTCTTCTATGCGTGCTTCTGACTATTTACTGCGCCAACCTATCTGCATGAGATTCTTCTAGGCAACCTGTAGAGCCAGGCGTAGATGCGTCTGCCCTCCGATGCTACGGCAGCTGTGCAGACAGCCACAACGTCATCCAGAGGCATCACAAGAAACATCAAGGTAGCTAGAGAGCTTTGAGGTCTCCATGGTCACTGTGGGAGCAAACTCCAAATTCTACCAGACTTCTGGCGTCACATAGCTTCTGGAGCAAGCGATCGCCGTGTTGGACCGAATATCCCGATCAAGATCCACACCCCACAAGCAAACGCTGTGCTACCCATTCCGACGCCCCATAGAACCACATGTCGGATTCTGGAGGTCCTCATTTCAACAAACGCGGGGTCAGAGTCTCTGCATTCGCAGAGATTAGACAAACGACTGGCACGCAGGCAACTCCAGCACGGCGAAGTGTAGGCCTGAGCTAAATCCATAACAACATCAACGAAAACGATGATGACTGTAACAAGCACCACACTGAATCGGAATTTTGGGATGCCTTGTCACGCGCCCGCTTACCGCGGTTACGTGCACGTGAAACCGTCTTTCCTGAGGATACACCTCGCTTGGGAATCTTCAGACGCAAGTCACTGTCTTGGGACTGCATGTTCTGCAGGGTTCTAGACTGGGCTAGATGACGATGACGGGGCGGCACCTCCCACGTCTCTGTTGAAATCTGGGGCCAGCTCTAGGGCTTGGCCCGGTTGTGACCCAAATAACACCGAATTAAGACTCGCTGACAAGTGGGTGGCCAGGGTTAGCGCGTACAGGTCCAAGGCCGAGGCAGTCAGAGGGGTTTACGGACAGAATTTACGATCAGGATCCTTGCTTCAGCGAATGCATTTACAAAAGCTGTGGAACTCACGCACGCTGATGGGGTCTCCTGGCAGCATCTTCCTCTGGAGTCTGGTCGATTACTATATTGCTGTCCTGGTGTCCGGTATGACCATTATCACTTCTCCGGGCATCCCTTTTTCGTCGACGAGCTTGAGGTTTGGCGAGGTTCGAGTTCGGCCTAGGCTCTGGGCTTCCCCTTCAAGGCTGTAGCGCACGAAGTTGCGAGTCTAGCATGCTTGTTTATGCTGATTGCTTGATTGTGTCTTCTTTTTTGGCGGAAGGGCTGATAAAAATTTTAACTCACGGTTTAGGGCATGCGTGTTTCCGGCTTCGGCTTCAGGGTTTTGGACAGATCGATCACATGTCACCCAGGTGACCGGCAGTGTTTGTGGGCAGGATGATGATAAAAAGCATGATCGGCATTGTACCCGGAGATTGCTCATGTCCAGACTCTAATAGGGTTTCTCACGCCCGTTGATCAAGAACAACTTGAGAGATTCACTAAGTCACTAATATAAAAAGCATAGGATAGAACGCAAAAACATATATTGCAAGCTGCTGCAATATCGAAAATCTATGCAAGAAGGCGCTGTGAGCGACGGCTCCTCATCCGCGGCGTGGGACGGCCTGGCTTATAGGGCTTCGGGTTTAAGGCTTAAGGTTGAGGGTTTCTCTCCCTTTGCAGACCAGCTGCCGTCGCTCGTGGTAGGTCTCTCGTTGTGTCGATCCGCACCTGGCATCTTTTCGAAGCGACTTGCCGTCGTCATCGACGGGAGCACCGACCAATTGCTCTCAGCGCTCAGCACTCCCATGACCTTGTCTTACAGTTCACCAACTAAGACCACTGAGGAAGGTCGACATTTGTGAAGCCTCCATACTTCAAAGTTCATTGGTAGGTAACGTAAAACCTAGACTCTTGTCGGCTTTTGCTTTACTCACAGCTCTCTGAAATCAAAACTGTAGCTCCTGCAGGGATTTCCGCTGCTCATGCTTCTGTTGAGACTGTCATGCAAGCCAGTTGAGACTAAGCTCATGGCAATCTTTACAACCAGCATCGCCATCGTCAGCACTATCTGGTCCGGCATCATCAGTCTGTTCACAGTCACGACAGCATGCAAATCAGGATCACCACGATCAGCTGGTGGTGGCGGTGACGTCGCCGCTGTAAGAAAACATGACGTGTCCGCACACAAACCACAGGCAGGCGCGACGCGTGTGGCCCGGGGGGGCGAGGCACTTGTGCCCGGCTGCGGCCGCTCCGGAGCTCGTTCGTTCCGTTCGGCCTCCTTCTGCCGTGCCTGGTTCTCTTCGGGGTCCAACTTTTGGAGCTTGGGGTTTGGTGTGACTTCGGTCTTGGTGTGAAGCTTAAACTTGTTCGGGCTTTAATTCTTGGGTGCTCTAAGCTGCGTTGTGGGGTCAGACTGTGGCACCTGCACTCATCTTCCGAAGCAGCACAGAACATTAACCACGAATTTAAACCCACCTTCGTTCGGCGCACAATGTCCCTTAGCCGTGTGCGTTGCTGTCTTGGTCGCTCCCGATCTAGGGAGCGTACGAGCATGAGCCTGCGCTTAATCTCAACCAGCTCATCCTCAACGAAATCGCACAAGGCATCGAACTTCATGCTTTGCCTGCAGACATCTGGGACTTGAGGGCAGGAGACAAAGCTCAGGGGCTGCCCGGGCTGTTTTGTGGGTTTTGACGACTCCGTCTGACCCCCTTGCGAAGCTTCGGAGCTCACTTGTTGCAATCCAGGTGGGGCTGCACCGCTTGACCCTCAGCTATTGCTGGTCTCAACTCCAAATCCAAGGGTTGTTTCGGGGCAGCCTCGTCTGGTCGTACATGAGCGCCATGAGGTCCAGCTTTGTTGCTGAGCCCTGTCGACGCTACGCTCCCCAACCCCCGACATTAAAAAGCTCTGGCCGCATGAAATCGTCGAGACCTTTCTGCGCATGATGGCCGGAGTGTGCCAATGCCCGGATTGTGACAGGAAGCGAATATCGTCACAACCCAGCTGCTATGTACAGCAAGAGCCTGGGGTGTAGGAGCGAGGACGTACTGTTCAGGATTTGGGGATCTAGACCTTCTTGGTGCTTTCCTGATGGTGGATGCTCGGTGTCCACTCCAACTACTGGACTTTGATCCCTAACCACAACCTCATCCCGCTTCCATCCCCAGTCGGCTCATGTATACCCCGGAGACCGTGAAGATCGTTTGGCACCTTAAGCTTCATGGTCCCGTGAACAAACTCGTCGATCTTGATCTCCTCGAGGTTGGTTGCGACATGCAAGTTTCAAGCTGTAGGCTTCGAGCTGCAAGGGGCGGTCTTTAGGGCCTTGACGGCAAACTTTAGCGTTTCTGTGGTTTGAAGCCTAGGTCGACAGCGGCGCGTCGATCCTTGCTCTTGTCTCCGTCCAGGATCGTGAAGATAATCTCTGCCTTGTTGGCGCAACCGTGGCAGCAATGAGAGCGACGGCTTGGGCAGCATGGACCATGGGCTGTGGTTCGGAATGAAGGCACATCGCAAAGGAACAACAGCGACGAATTGCAAAGCTTCAGGAGGCGTTTCTCTGCCTGCCGAACAAGCACATCCTACTCCACTGTCCTCAACACGCATCAACCTCAAGGCCCGGATCTCGAAGTTTTTGGACAACCTCGACTTGCCAGCGTTGGAATCGGCCTCCTCCGGATCAATGTCCAGCCCTGAGAAATAGGCCTTCGGCAGGAATTCGGCACTTCTCAAGAATGCTTGGTGTTGAGACTGATTTCTATGCATTAGGGCCTGGGGCCTGATGGATCTTCGGTTTAGGCTGTCGGTCCGACTGCGGATGAGAATGATCTTCCGGGTTCGGGCTTGCAGATTCTGCCTTGGAATGGGCCTTCGGACACTTCCATCGGAGTCGGGCGCAGAAGATGTGGCATGCTGCTAGTCAAGACTGCTTAGGATGCCGCGCCAGAAACCTCGTCCGGGCATGCCAGGCCCTAGTAGACTGGTACTAGCACAAGTACTAGTGCTACCGCCTGATGGGGACAGAAAAAGCCCAGTCCCGCCTCTTTGTTCGTGCCCCGTAGGGCTTCGTCTGGGCATGCCCGGCTAGAAGACTGGTACTAGTACTAGTACTAGCCGGGCCTACCCAGGGCAGAAAAAGAGCCTTTCCGACGGTACCCAAAGCAGGCCCAAACGGGGACCGAAAAAAAACCAGCCCGTGTGTGTTCCTATGATTCGCGGCGGCAATTCTGCGAGTGCTGCTGCTAACCTGGTCATTGCATGTCAGTGTTATCACTGTGACACTTCTTCTCCCTGTGATTTTGTACTCGTGCTACTGCTATTGTGGTCAAGCCAGGTTTCGGTCGATTTGTCGTGTTGCTCGGGGTGGTGTCCACGTAGGCGTTATGCAACAACACTGGCCGAATACGAGGAAACCTACGGCTCCTTCCAGCTCTTTCGTTGCTATATGGGAGTTTCAAAGAAGGGACCCCAGTATGGCATCAACACAGCAGAAAGATCCTTAAACAAGGGACCGTCGATTCTTGACGCTCAAAGCCCAAATCCAGCAAAGGACTATGCACCTTCACTGCTGGGTTCTTCATGTGGGATTGGAACTCCTCCCAGTTCAAGGTTCCTCGCAAGCAAAACTTCGGCTTGCAGCCTTCAGTTGAGGCATCTGTTCTCGTAACTTTTCAGTCAGATCTGGGTCTTTCACGTCTGCTGTCGGTGACTCCCGGGTTTGCATGTTGGCTTCGGTTCTAGCTTTGGTGATATGTCACAATGCTATGTAATTTGCACAGGATGCGCATTTCCAGGCTCATGGGTACAAGGTTTCAAGGTCTGGGGCTCAAGTGTCGAAGGCTCGGGGGCTGTGACTTTAGGGCTTTGATCAAACTCTAAACCCGTGAAACCAAACCTGACCCCCCGCCCTCAAGCCTGTGACATAGTTCTACACATCCCTTCTGGAAGAGCTGGTCATCTTTCCTTTCACAAACCCCTAAAGGCTGCTGCAAATGAGAGTTGCGTCCTGAGCCGTCGGTGTCGGCGTCCTTGAAGAAGCCTTTGATCTCCTGACCAGCTTCGGGATTTCATCCTGGATTCTGGCTTCTTTTGCTCTTGAGGCAGGAGGCCATCTTCCGCGCGCGCGCGCGCGCGCACGCCTGCGCGCGCAGGAGTGAGTGGGTGTGGGTGCGTTTGGGTGGGTGGGTGGGTGTGGGTGGGTCTGTGTGAGGGTGTGTGTGTGGGTGTGTGTGTGTGTGTGTGAGGGTGTGTGAAGGTGTGTGAGGGTGTGTGAGGGTGTGTGTGTGGGGTGTGTGTGTGTGTGTGTGGGGTGTGTGTGTGTGTGTGTGTGTGTGTGTGTGGGGTGTGTGTGTGTGTGGGGTGTGTGTGTGTGTGTGTGTGTGGGGTGTGTGTGTGTGGGGGGTGTGTGTGTGTGTGGGGTGTGTGTGTGTGTGTGTGTGTCTG